CCCCAAAACCCCAAAACCCCAAAACCCCAAAAACAATAAACATATCTAAATAAAAGAGTTCTTAAATAAACATGAAATTTGTATATAATCACTTTGGCATTTTAATCATCAACTTGGCCTTAATTTCTTTCATTCTGCAGGCTATTAGAAGGTCTCAAGGAAAATAAGATTAATGTATTTAAGAGGAAGGTTTTTATCGAATCTCTTTTTGAACATTTTTAAGAGCTCACTTTCCTCTAAGCTTTCGCTGAACCTCTCCTTAGACCATACATTAAAAGCAAAAGGATTGAAGTTGAGTTAGCTGAATTTCTCTTATTTTTCATCATCAGATAAGGATGGATCAATTATTCTGCATTATACCATAACATCAAAAGATGCAAAGTTTTATGGCTACCAAATTGCTGGTGTAATACAGTTGTTACAGATAAGATGATCTATGTCTGGGTCATAGAGTTCTTTCCAATTCTTTGCATCGTATTAGTTATAGAATTCATCAAATAAAAGATAGAGTCTGCCCTGAGTTCTAAGTAAAAATTCAACTTTGGCCCTCTCAGTTTACTATAAATTATTAAGATCAACTATTAACATACGTATGCTGAAATTTTAGCATCACCTCCTTGCCTTATTTCTAGCTCAAAACTTCTTAGAGATATATCTTGGCTTTCATAGATATAAGTCATTTGAGATATCATAGACTTTACAGCATTAATATCGTATTTAGCCCTAATATTTGAATATTTGAATATTATTTACTCTAAACTAGACAATATGAGTGGAGTTCTGTTCTCTTGATGAGTAGTCGCTAGAGCCGTTTGAAGTTGTTCTTAATTTTTTATTCAGTAAATTCTAACTCTCTCCTAATATTCTTACTCCTGCTTATTCACTCTGGATTAATGTGCCTTAAAGCTTCTTATGAAATTCTAATTTTAAGTTTCATTTACTAACGGACTGATGTGAATCAAATTCTCATGGTTGAATAAATTGTTGTTGAATTGGCCATTGTATAATATAGCGTTTGAGATAAGATCATTTATATATCCTTAACCTTACATCTTTCCGTTTTTCCAGTAACCATCATACTTAAATTTTGAACCATTGGGAAGACTAGCAAATGTAAACACTCCGTAACCGTCAAATTTATCACTCTTAAACTGGCCTTCATAAGTCGAGCCATCAGGATATATTGCTTTACCCTTGTTACTTTTCATATCTCTATCGAACTATCCTACATACAGACATAGTATGTTTTATTCACTTCTTCCAAATAGCTGAATACCATAGCCATGTCTGATTTATCTCAATCTAGGTCTGACTTCCTCAACACAATCATCAAAATTGAAGTAAATCATGTCATCTTCTTTGTTTAGGAAAGCAATTTCGCCATAATATACTGATCCATCAGGCATCTAAAAGCATTTAAAGCCCTACTTATTCACTGATTTCATTTCTAAATCCATTTCTGCTCTAACTTCTTTTAAATATATATTCTCTTAATTATATTTTATTTCTTCGTTTGCTTAAATTACTTTCGTTGGGGTTTTGGGGTTTTGGGGTTTTGGGGTTTTGGGG